CATCTTTCGGGATGTACTGCGTTGTTAAATCACATCAATCAGGGGTATATATGCACACATATAATATAATAATGTAAATGATAATACAAATTTAATTTGAGATGAAGTAGTGATGAATAAAAGGATAATCAAGAAAAAAAAGTACCAACTCATTCTGTCTTCCTGATAGCCTCGATCTCGACACGAAAAAAGGATTTTCGGGACGGAAGATTTCAGCACCGTAGCAGTCCGGAAGATCCTTCTTCTTGAAGATTCTCTCCCGAGGTATATCATCACCATCACCATCACCATTATCATCAACATCATCATCATCATCATCATCATCAACATCAACATCAACAACATCAATATCATCATCATGTATGTCATCATCATCATCAACATCATCACCATGTATGTCATCATCATCATCGCCATGATCATCATCCATGGATGCATCATCATAGTCTTGATTAATGGTGTTGTGCTCGTTTAACTTTAGAGATCCGACGCCTTTCTTCTCGAGAGAATTTCTTCCAAAGATTCTGAAATCGAACAAGTTTCTGCCGTCATAATCGAGTATCATAAAATCCTTCAGCTCCAAAGAATTATCCTCGTAAAATTGTGTCCATCCCTCAATAAAATAACATGAATAACCTCCATCGGTAGCTACCTCCACTTCCCACATATTCGTGTATCTATCTCTAAGGATGACCCTCTTTGGTAGAGCTCGTTTCATTTTCATTACAAACGACGCAGGAATACGCTGCCCCCTCCAAAAAGAAATTAAATATATATAAAACTCTTTTCTCAAAATTAAATCTATGAAATGCAATTCTTGAACATTTTTTACCTTTTAAATAGTATAAACATATAGATAGGGAGATCTATTTTAATTATATATACGATGTGCGGTAACAAATTAAAGACACCAATTTTCTCACTAACTAGTTTAATTTTCGAGAGATCAGTGCAGAAGCAGAGAAACGTATATACACAAAAACTTGCAATTTTGGAGCAGAAATTACAGATCTACTTATACCCAGAACTACTACTATAGAAACACACAATTACAATTAAAAAAAAATAGAGGAAATATATATAGATAGAGAAGAAAATGTACGAATATTTCAGAACTCGTAATGCAGTTAACGAAGGCTTGCGGAGAATCCATCTCTGCTTTTGGCAGATCCTTGTGCCCCTCTGGTATTAGCAATTAGAACAAAACAGAGCTGAAGAAAAACTGTATGTAATTAATAACCAGCTGGAAAATAAGTTCAACAGAAGAAGATGAAGAAGAAAAAGGCTTACAGAATGATGTATGTATCTTTGAGAGAGAGAGAGAGAGAGAGAGAGAGAGAAGTGCTTACAAATGCATGCAGAAAAAAGGTGGTAAGGGGATGGTGGTGTATGAGTTTTTATTTTACCATTTCTGGAATTTTGGGGTAATTAATAATTACCTTCTGGCTTCTACCCACGTGTTTCTTTAATTTTCTTTTTCTTTTTTTGAAGGAAACCATTAATTATTAAATATTAATAAAGATATTAAAACTTGTTGTTGTATTACGAATTATTTAAATCATTTATTCAAATTAATGGAGCAAGTTACTGGCTTACAATTAAATTAAATTTTGTAATATCTCTAAATAATACACCATCAAGCCTCTATTTATCTTTTTGATGCTTTCAGCTCCAAAATATTCTCATATTATACAACACAACATTTTTTTTTTAATTTTTTTTTTCTTGCTTTATAGTTTATGCAGATGGAGCTTTTACTCTTCTGCAGGTGGTTCCACCCAACGACCGTGGTCTTTAATCAGCTGGATCAACGCATCGGTTGCATGCTCCATGGCAATGGCTCTCCTCACCACCTCCTAATCACCATCAAATTCGTCGACAAACAATTTTTATTAATATATAAATATAAATTAATATATGAAAAAAAATATAGCGCATACCTTTCCAACATAGAGGTCGATTTTTCCGGGAGCACCACCAACGTAACCAAAATCAGCATCAGCCATTTCTCCAGGTCCATTCACAATGCAACCCATGATAGCAATCTGCACACCGGAAAAAAACAAATGAATTCATAAAAAATATATTCCAAGTGTAATTGTTGTGCAAATTTCTTTAAGCGATAATTTAGCTTAAGAGTGTGGTGGTACTTACTGAAACACCAGGCAAATGAGACGTCTTTTCTCTTATTTCAGCACTGATTTCTTGAAGATCGAATAAAGTTCTTCCGCAAGAAGGGCAGGACACGTATTCCTGGTAATTGTTTTTACACAGGTTAAAAATAAATTACGTACAAGTGGTGTGAAATTAGATAGATCCCTTTTTATTTATAGTTACCGTCTTTGTATTTCTCATTCTGCAGCCCTGTAGCAAATTGAAAGACGTGTTTCTGAGGAAATCGAAATCCTGATGTGGGGCGTCCAATAGGATACCGTCTCCCAGTCCATCGACCAGAAGGCCGCCCGCATTTGTTCCAGCACCAATTACCAAATCGTCCCTACAAAAAAAACCGAAAAATGTGAGATTCTTAATCTTGATTTAAGCAAGCAGACATATAGTTGGTTTTTGTGATGTACCTGTGAATTCCTTTCGGGAATTGTATATGATGGATTACTGGAAAGTTCAAGGACTTCTCTGAAAGATACTCGAAAAGCCTGCAAATACCAAAAACATCCTCAACCGAAGATAAATTTGAATGCTCTTTCGACTATTTTTTATTTATTTATTATGCAAAATACCTTCTTGCAGCATGAACTCTGCTAGTTTTCTCTTCTGTGTACGGCAGGTCATGAAGAATCATTATAGCATCTGTCGTCTTCAGAATTTCCAGCTCTTCTTGAGTTTCATCGCCACGCACAGAGACTACCAAACGTGTACCTAAATGTGAACAAAAAACTTAGTATTCGACTTAGAAATTTGGTGGATTTTAAGAATGTCTGCAGTATTATGGCTGACATGCACAAACCTTCGGGAAGAAGCTTGTGGGCACCACTAGACAATTCCTTGAGAGTTACCATAACCAGGGCATTGGGTAATGGCTTTGTCAACTGCTCCGACAATGGAGTTATAACTCCCATTTTAATGTCTATCAACCGTTTCAGAGCTAATTGCTGGTAATAGATAGGACATGAAAAATGATCAAATCACTCTCAAAAATAGTTTGTGATGGCACAGAAAAAAAAAGGCTTACAGCGTCTTTATCATCTACTGGTGGAAGCTCCCTCAACGAAATTGTGTCCACAGTTGCCAGATCCTAAATCAACATCGAACTTTTTATCTTGAAAAGTTTTCTAATAAAAGATAATCAAAAATCGTACTTCGTGACATAATGGACATCCGCGTATACCTTAAATGGCATTCCGACAATAAGTTTTGCTGCTAGAGACTTGTATAGAAGTTCGGGTGCCTAGAGGGTAGAGGACGTAAAATTTCAAAATTAGAGTTATATAGACAAACTGTTCTAATAAAATAATATGCTTCTTACTGAAGATATGATATAATCATAGAAAAATCAAGAAAACACAGCCAGAGACCTTTAACTGGTCCAGAGAAACCGACATCAGAACTGAGCCATCACGATGAAGGACACCTCGAAAATCAACTTCTTCACCCTGTATAAAGAGCAAATGATAATTTATTACTTCTCAGACTCCGATTTTTTTTTTTTTACATGCATTGAATAATCAAAGATGATGAAGTCATCATATTCTGACCTCCTTTTGAAGAGGCAGTTGACCACTTCTACGCTGGAAATCAAAGTAGCGTCTGTTCTTTTCTTCAAATGGTGTCTGCTTAGTGTCAAATGACGAGAAAAACCCTTAATTTTTTCTAAGTCAAGAATGTAAATTAAGTGGAAAAAAATATATATAGCTATTTTATGTTGCAGTCAATGCCATACCACTCCTTTCTGAAGCTCAGCTGCTCTCATACCAAGGTTGGCCAATCTTCTACAAGGATCAATCTCTTCTTCTGGAGCTTCTGTTAGGGAAACTCTAATGGTATCTCCCAAACCATCCTATACAATGAAAATGTAATAACCATATTATAAATAAATACAAATTAAAAAAAATTAAAAAAAATTAAAAAAAAAAACTTCGGGATAAGTATATCGAGGGCATACCATGAGAAGTGTCCCGATACCTATTGCAGATTTCATCCGACCATCTTCTCCCTCACCAGCTTCAGTTACTCCCAAGTGCAATGGGTAATCCCATCCAAGAACGTTCATTTCAGCTACAAGAAGCCGATATGCCTGGACCATAATAACAGGGTTGCTTGCTTTCATTGAGAATACAAAATTATGGAAGTCTAGTTTTCGACAGATTCTTGCGTACTCAAATGCAGATTCCACCTGTTACATTGTCAAATTTTCAAATAAACATTTATATCACTTGAATCATCCAATAAGAAGCATAAATAAATTTAAACAAAAAAAAGAAAAGAAAAAAGGATTAGCTCTGCTTTGAGTGTTGAAGTAGCTATACTTACCATTCCCCTGGGTGAGTCTCCATGATAGCTCATAATTCGGTCCGAAAGGCTGCCATGGTTTGTCCCAATGCGCATGGCCCGCCCATACTTCTTACATTTTTCAACCAGAGGTGTGAATACCTATGTTAAGTACAAAACATTAGCATAAGATATGCCATAAGACTTGTACCTCACAGTTTCCATTCTCTTTACGTGATTTTTCAGGTGTGTATTTGCCAAAGCAATCTAAAATAATCACACGATCGGATTCATTAAAGAATTTATTACGTTCGCTAAATCATGTTTTTATTTCATTTCTAAAGAATTACTTCACATTGGATTTTATAGTGATAGGAAAGTCTGTAGTTCTTCTCTAACATGCCCACGGAGCAAGTAAAGTATAAACACAATATGTCTAAACAGACACTTAGTATGATCCGCCAAAAGCAATCTATGCCTGGACATTCGTGTACCTGCTCAATATGCTCAAGTTCTTTCTGATAATCGTCTTCTGAATATTCCAGCTTCTCAAACTGAGCTCTCCTGTCAGCTGAAAACATAGTATTTGTCAGGTTACAACCATTCTCCTTTTTTTTCTACAAAGGAAGTAAAAATGAGAAAAGAATATGGTGGGCAATCAGGTACCAAAGTTCCCTGGGTTGACACGAATTTTGTCGAAGCATTCAGCAACTCTTAATGCAATAGGAGGGGCGAAATGAATGTCCGCAACCAGAGGGATGTTATAGCTGCGTCATAATTAATCGAACATATGAGTACCTCTGTCTATAAATAAATATAGACTTTCGATTTCAAGTGAGACAGTAGAACGGAACACATACTTTTTCTGAACAAGGGAATTTTTTATTTCGAAACATGCATCTGCTTCTTTCTTTCCTTGCACGGTTATTCTAACAATATCCGCTCCTTTGTCCGCTATTCTCATAACCTGAAAATACAAAGGTTAACTGTTAATGAAAAAAACTTTAACTGTTTATGCAAAAAAAAAAAAGTCTTAGGTAAGTATGAGAACCTGTTCGACTGTTCCTGCAACATCCTTTGTATCTGTTGTGGTCATTGTCTGAATTCTAATAGGATGCTCACTACCAAGAGCCACATTTCCAACCATCACCGTGCACGTTTTTCTCCTGATAGTTTTGTGTATCGATTCACAGTATTTCTGTCTGGGGACTAAATTAAAAAAATCGTCGAATCAGATATTTAAGATAATGAATGATGTACGAAAAAAGTTTCCATCTACATCCTTTATGAGACAAGATACATAAAACACTTTCAAGAAATTTGAAATATCAAGTTGCAATTAGCTCAAACATGAAAAGGGGATCTTTAAAATATATGAAATAAAGCAAATCGATGACCTAAAAAGAAGCATCGTCACAGTATAGGAACTCATACGAAGTATACCTAATAGTGTGCTTCCATCTGATGCAGGCTCAAGTTCGACAGTTTCTGAACCAGGGTTACCGGAATTCCTGACCACAGCGATCTTAGTTCGTCGAAATTTAATCCTTTGCAAGTCAGAAACTCTAACGAAATCCGAACTTTTAGCGAAGCTAATTCCCTTAAGATCCCTACTTTTGAGAGCAGTAAAAGAAGCAGGAACAGCTCCAGTTGCCATTTTCAAAATTCACCCTACCCAAACACAAAAACACAAAGTCAGAACAATCGAGTTACGAAAACACGAACAAATTAATGGATCATAAATTACGAAATCAGGGGCGAAAAAATTAATCAAATTAAACAGTACACAAAATGATTCATCCCCCAAAATTCATCAGTTGTTATTACACTCAATTCGATCACCTCTCCCCAAATCCAAAATCACCTCAGATAAGATAAGGTAACACAAGTCAAACAAAGACAACAAAAAAGTAAAATTAAAATTAACAAATAAATAAATAAATAATCAGGTGCTAGATTAACTACTGAATACTAACCCTGGAAAAAACTGAACAAAAAAATTCCGTGCTTGAGAATTGGGGGAGAATTTACGAAATGAAATTCAGACAAAAATGAATTCTTTTATTATACTTACAGAAGAATTATAGGGTTTGGCGAAAGCTAATCCAAAATTGATAAGCAGACAAAACTCACAGACTCAGCATCTTCTGGATTCCCATATTAGTAGCCATACAAATGCTTTCATTACTCTACGAACGAATTTGACAGGTGACGACTATTTGTTTGGCACTCCTTTACATTTTGGCCCCTTAAGTTTCGTTTTATTTACTTTTGACCCACTTTATTTCATATTTTTGTGCCTGCATTTATTGGAGGGGAAAATCGGATGATGAGGTTTAACTTTTTCGGAAAATTTGTATTAATTCCAATTTTCCATTTTGATTTTTTTCTTAAATTAATTAAGAATCTATAAAATTTAAAAAAAAAAATAGAATAAAGAAATTGTTCCAATTTTATGAACTAGGGTAGGGTGGATGTGGTAGGTATTTGGTTCATTTTTTATGGCAAGTCTTAATTATCATTAAAACCTACAAAACTTTATACTTCACCCAAAATACTTATTTTATCTATAATATGTGTCACTTTACAGAAATATTTTTGTGCTGTATTATATGATTGAAATTGAACTCTCTTTCTAAAGTTGAATTTTAGATTTTACAATATTACGCATGAACAACAAATTAAACCACATCACATTTTATAGATTTATGAAATGATTAAGATAAATGAAGGAAATCAACCGAACCTCTTAATTTATGAACTCAAATGCAGGGTTTACCATAGTAGAAAGACTTGCATAAATTAGTAAAACTATAAGGACTAAATTGAAAATTAAAAGTAAATAAATATTGCCTCCCGACCCCGCCGGCGCCGGATGCTAAATGCAAAAGCCAGGGGCGTGTGCCACACACTATTAAATTATTATTAGTCAATGTTTCTTCTCGGGTCAAAATTATGATCCTTTTTTTTTTAAGTTTTTCCAGTAGATCAGATTAAATTGGGTGATTTTTTATTTATTTATTTTAGTTGCTCCAAATAAATTGAATTTTCTACCAAGTTGCTTGTTTTTCTCCATTAGCAAAAAGCCAAAAACCAATATTGTCCTGAATTAGTGATTGGTAGAAATAATACTATATTTGTATTAACTAAAGGGGGCAACTATTTTGAATACTAATTTTTGCTTAGTTGAATACTACCTAGTTGAAAACCATAATTGAGTACATATTTATAAGTTTTTTCTTACTTTAAAACCAAAATAAAAAGAAAATTACAAAAACACCCTTTCATACAAAATATCAATTATATCAAATTTTATTAGAAATTACCTATTAAAAACCAAATAAAAAAAAAAGAAAAAAAACCCTTTGTT